ACGGTTTCAGTGGCCATTTGAAGGTCAGAATTCGTGCCACAGGTGACTAATTCGAACAATTCAAGACTTATTGTAAAATTTGCGGCTATTTCCGACATTTTTGCTTTCACTCAATAAAATTAAAAAAAATTAAAAAGTATGGACTTGTAGTTCGTAATGGGTTCTTGCTCCGACGGCAGAACATCTAATATTTGGGTCCACATTTTCCTTTAGCGCGATATTACGATATCCATCCATGTGCGGTATTATGATAATCTTAGTCACATTTACCCACGAAATTATTTTAAATTTGGTATTTAAGAAGATTTGGTAAATGACATTCCCTAAAGTATGAAATTGTCAATAGAGGTTCCCGGGGGTTAGGGTCAGAATAGAACCCTATTGCTTTTGGAGATGATCGCATTATTTTTATGATTTTTCTGATTTTGCAGTTGCTCTACAGGCCACAATTATGACGCAATCGACGCGAAAATTAACATGGAGTTAGAGTATAGGACTGGGCAGAAACCTACCAATTTGAGCGACTATCAGACAAAAATTTGCGGGTAAAATAGACCCTAAATTTTATGTAAAAAATAGAAAAATTTCCACTAAACCGCGAATTTTTTTTAATCCTAGCCAAATCACAAATACATTAAAATATCACTTCTGACCATTAAAATGTGGCTAATAGCCAAGAAATCGGATGCATGGCAAAATAGGTACAATATATATGTAAACGAATTGATCTTATTTATTCTGTTTATAAATCAAGAGCCGCTGAGCCGATTTTTACAATTCCCATCAATTCGGAATGGTTTCTTGCCAGAAAAGTATAAAATCTGAGAAAATCGTCGAAAAATATACCAATTAAAAGTGAATATATTTTCTTCCACATATTTTCAATTTTTGTCATATTTTTTATCGCTTGCGATTTTTTCAATTTGACTTAAAATTTAAAATTGTAAATTTTCTAAATTTTTACATCCCGCAACACTAGGTTCTGAGGGTATTATATCTCTGGGGTAGAGTTAGGGTCAGAATTAAAGCCTATTGTTCTTAAGATGTACATTTAGGGGTTCAAATGGACCAAAAAAAAATTAAATTTTTCTAATTTTGTAGTTACAATTGAAATCTAATCGACACGAAATTTCGCATCAGAGGAGAGTTACGGACAGGGAAGAAGTCTAATATTTTGGATAATCATTGAATTATATTTAGCTGTAAAATGGACCAAAACTTTAGTGTGAAATTTTTTGAATAATTAACAACACTACGGAGTGCATAAATATTGGCCAAATTTTCCGGTTCAAAAAACTAAGAGTAACCTCTGGGCGGGGCTATTTGACATTATTTCAAAAACGAAATCTTCCAAAATGGATTTGGAAATAAGGGGACTTCGAACATATTGTAGTGTTGTAGGGTATCACATGGTCGGCCCCGCACGACTATAGCCTTGGCTTACTTCTTTTAAGTATGATTGAATTCTCCAAATATTAACGCCAACATCTATTTAATCACAAAACAATTACTCTCCGTTTTCCTCCAAACTCCTTAACTTTTGCCGAAGGTTAAAACCAAATTATCAGCTTGAACTGAGATTTGCCGAAAATCCAAATAGGCAAGAACACCCGACACTTGACAATTCTTGCCACATAATTTCATTAAAGTTTTCCCCATCAACTGTGGTCTGTATGAAGTCGCTGTTCGCCACAATTTTGTAGCAACAAGTTAATTGCAACAATAGCTGAATTAATTTTCATAGCTAGTCATTTTGTAAGTTTTCCAATTATAACTGAACAACTTTTTGCAATAATTAAGAACAAGAGGATGATGAGTTGAAGTAGAAGAGTGCCTCATTAAATAACGTTTGCATGAAAAGGGAACTAAATATAACCTACTTGGCTCGTTGCATTTGCTGGAGAGAGAACAATGAAGAATGAGTGTTAACGGAAATTGTAATACATGTTGTGAGAATTATTATGGTATGGTATGCATATATTATAATAGTGTGCATGGAAATGAATGAAAATCTTGAACATGTATTGAATTGGTATGGAGAATGCTTATATTGAATATCAAGTTTATTCCGCGAACAAAACTCAAAAAAATGTTGATAAAAGATATAAACAGAATCTGATATGTCAGTTTCTCTATAAATCTGAAATGAAAAAAACTGCATCCAGTTTTGGACTGCTGTCATTTCTAAACCACTTGTCCGACATATGTTAAAATTATTCCAGTGACACCACAAGCGTCCAGTGTTTACAAGCGTACAAAAGCATTTTAATGATAAATTTCCAAAAAAAAAAGGTTATTCGTGATGGAGTTCAAGCGTGATTGTGTGATTTCTTTATATTTGGCTGGAAAACCACAAGTGGCTATCGTAGAGCACTTCAGCATTTAAATGTGAATAAATCTTTTGAGTCTCATACCATCGCTCGTTACCGTACTGGTAGCGTAGCCCGACGTCAAGGAAGTGGACAGAAGAAAACAGCAACATCAGCAGAAGTGGTTCGAAAAGTAAAGAAGCGACTTGATCGAAACCCGCGTCGCTCGGGGTAAATCCATTAAAATTCCAAAAAGTACATGAACTTACAACGCAACAGAAAGATAATAGTCTCAAACGAGCAAAGTTACCTCACTTGGCCGAAAGTGGTGAACTGCCGAACTTGGCATCTCTCTCTTCGCTCGACCGTAATATCGTGTACCGTGGATCGACATAATTGCCGAATATTATCGCGAACATATTCTAGATGGTGTATTAAAGCCTTGGATACTCAAACATTTTGGCCGCAGACCTTGGACATTCCAACAGGACTCAGCACCATCGCACTCAGCACGCGCCACCCAAGAATGGTTACAAAATGACGTTCCTCGCTTTATTTCCAGTGCACAATGACCACCAAAATCTTCGGATACCAATCCATTGGACTATTGTGTCTGGAGTATTTTGGAAAGCAAGGTTGGCACTTAAAAAATACCAAAGTGTCTATCACCTCAAGCAAGTGCTTCGCCGGGAATGGGTCAAAATATCGCAGAGCAACATTCGATTGAAGGCCATAATTCGTGCCGATGATAACCAATTCGAACAAATCTAAACTTATTCTAAAATCTGATGCTATTTCCGACATTTTCTGCTTTCATTCAATAAAATCAAAAAAAAAAAAATGTAAAATGTTGGCGTTTGACGTTGTTGCAGTTTTTTCTTATCTCGCCCTGTATATGGGAGCTATTTTTAAATTTTGACCGATTATCTCCAATTTCATTTCGTCCTTGGGTTAAAACAAACGACTTGTGCAAAATTTCATCTGGATCGGTCGCATGTATTGTCCTGTACTTTATTTGCAAAAAAACATGGACATGTGGGGCTATACGAAGACGTGGCCCTGCACAGACAATTTTCTGTCACAGGCCGTAATATCCATTACGAACTTCAAATACCAAATACTCCGGTGAATAATGTCGCTTAAATCACCAAACCTACGGCAATAGGAACGTACCGTTATATGGAGACTACACCAAAACGTGGAACTACATGGCCCATTTTCAATACAAAAAGCCCTGCAGACATAACCCACAATTGAGTTAAATTGTATCAACTTACTTTATTTCGTTCTGAAGATAGAGCGATTTCCACAAACAGATAGAAGGACAGACGGACGGGCATTGCTAAATCGACATAGAATTGTATCCTGATCAAGTATATATACTTTGTGAGATCTAAAGTGTATATTTCGAAGTGTTACAAACGGAATGACTAAATTAATATACCCTCCATATCTATGGTGGAGGGTATAAAAATGGCATATTAAATTAATTTCGATCGGAATATTTTCGATATTAAATGAGACAATTTTGTCACAGAACTTGTTACATTAGCTTGTTAATATGCTATCAGTAAAAATAAAATACTATTGTATAATTTAAGATCGCTCTATGACAGATTTATAAACTGCCTATCATCTTTACATCGCTCAGTGACCACACTGAGTGTGCACTTTTCACAGTGGTTTTGATAAAATCCACAACATATTTTCCTCAGTTACATTTCGCCCCACACCTCTCCTTGTTGTTCATTTGTACCTTTTTGCGGTTTGTTCATGATTTTGTCGTTCTTTTTTTTTTTTTTGTATTGTCTCCATAACGAGGACTATTTTCATTCTTTAAGAAGGCGGCATTTATTTGTGCTAACCATTCATTTGTTCGTTCGTTCTTTCGGTTTCTGGCTTTCACAGAACAAACCGAGCTGTCTAGTACATTTCTTAATGTCACACATTTTGTGCTGTTAGTTTAGCCAACTATTTTACGTCTCCCGTACGACCAACACCACAACCATGACATTCCATCACTTTCTGTCCCCAGTTTTACTTATAGTTGTTATATTATGGAAGGTACACCCACCCACATACGAACACTATTCTTACACGTTTAGATCCATGAATATATGACATTTTAGCAAGGAAGAAAAAAAAAACGCTGTATAATGAAGGAGAGTCTTCCTTAGTCGGAAACATAATCAGGATGGGGAAAATGTGCTGGCAAGTCACAACGTTGTGGACTCGTCTTCCTTCTCTCTTTGAACAAATTGCATAGTTTATGTAAAATGTGGCAGACTTAAATTGGTGAATAAATTTTAATATTTATGATAGATACTAAGAACATATTTTCAGTTCCGTTTTTAGAGAATACATTTTTAATTTCTTTATAAATGTCTAGTTAGGAAGTGAAAATTGGACTTAAAGATTTAAGAAAAATGTAAAAAAGAGATAAAAATGAAGCAAATTAAATTATAAAAGCATAAAATTTATGCTTTCTATGCATGGGGGGAAATGCTAGATTTTGGAATGTCTACCATGATTTAACGATAACAAATTAATATTTTGAAAAACTGACTCGACAGAGATAGGCCTTAAAAATATAAAAATTGTGACGAAGTGACATCACACCCTTTTTCAAGGCAATGCCTTTCATTGCATTAAAAACGATATTTAAAATTAGTTTTTTTATACACTTCTTACCTCATCTTTTTCAGCAAGAGATTCTCCATTTTCAACCCGAAATCGTTTAAAGTTTGGATCTATGCCGTCCAAATCTGTTTGTGGTAACTGAAAAATAAAAGAAAATATATAAAATTAGCTAATCAATTTCTGAGTTTTAAATACATCAAAAATGGGATTTTCAAAATAAAAACAAAAAACAAGTAAAAAGCTGTAAGTTCGGCCGGGCCGAATTTTGAGTACCCTCCACTATTTTGAACGAATTTGGCAATTTTCAAAAAAAAATAAAAAAAAAAAAAAATCCGTTAAAAATACTTTTAAAATTTTACCAAAATGTGGACCTGCACAGACAATTTTCTGCCTTAGGCTGCATTTTCCATTACGAACTTCAAATACCAAATGAGAAACAATTCTGATGAATAATGTCGCTAAAATCATCAAAGTACCGTTATATGGAAGCTATAAGAAGACGTGGACCTGCACAGAAATTGTATTATCCATTACGAACTTCAAATGCGAAATTTAAAACAATGGAGCATTATGCATTCTACATACCAAATGTGATACAATTCCGGTGAAAAATGTGACCTATATTGACAGTTCTCGGCAATGATGTTTCCAAACTCCCAAAATACCTTCAGTCTACTGTTACATTTATATGGAGGCTGTACTACAATATGGACCTATATGACTCATTTTCAATACCAACAAGTAAAAAAGGAGATTATTTCCGCCGTGCCGAACGTTAACTCCCTCCACCATTTTGAAGGAAGTGGAAAAATTAAAAAAAAAAATCCGACGATATAAACCGACGTGGATCTGCATAACTAATTTTTTGTCATAGTCTATAGTACCGATTCTGAAATTTAAAAACGAAACAACTCCGATGGATAATGTAACTAAAATCATCAAAATTCTGAAAGGTGGGAGGTACTGTTATATGGGGGCTATACGTAAACTGGAAACCATATGGCCCTTTACGAACTTATCGTGCCTACTGACAAAATACACATTATAGACTTCTATCTCAATTTTTTTCGAAATATAGAATTACAATAGAAAGACGGACATCGCTAAATCGACTTAAAAATGTCGGACATATCATAAAATTTTAGAATAAGTTTAGATTTGTTCGAATTGGTCACCTTTGGCACGAATTATGGCCTTCAAACGGCCAATGAAACCGTCACACACTGCCCGAATGTTGCTCTGCTGTATTTTGGCTCATTGCTTGAGGTGATCGACACTTTGGAATTTTTTAGTGCCAACATTGTTTTCCAAAATACTCCAGACACAATAGTCCAACGGATTGGTATCCGGAGATTTTGGTGGCCATTGTGCGCTGGAAATAAAGCGGTATCCTCAGAGCGACCATCGGCTGTTATGGCGGACTGCACTATCCGCAAGGCCGGGGCTTGAGTTCTGGTGGCCAACCGAAGGTGCACATTTTTGGCTGATCTCTTTGGCAAGTAAACACCATAATTTTGTTTGTTTACGAACTGCTGGAAAACGAATGCTTTCTCATTGGAGAAAACCAAATTCGGCAGTTCACCACTTTTGGCCAAGCGAGGCAACTCTTTAGCTCTTTTGAGTCTATTTTCTTTCTGTTGCGGTGTACGTTCTTGCGCTTTTTGGAATTTCAGTGGCTTTAACCCGAGCTCATTTTTCAATATTTGCCGAATGGAATATTGCGATAAGTTAAGCTCACGAGCCATTTTTGGGCCACTACGGGCTTAAATCAAGTCACTGTAGCTGTTTTCTTGCGTCCACTTCCTTAAATTCGGGCTACGCTACCATGTATCACGGTAATATATGATGGTACGAAACTCAAATGATTTATTCACATTTAAATGCTGGAGTGCTCTAACGATAGCCACTTGCGGGTTTCCAGTCAAATATAAAGAAATCACACTATCACATTTGAATTCCAAAACGAATAACTTTTTTTTTTCTGGAAAATTCTCACCAAAATGCTTTTGTACGCTTGTAAACAATATAATGAACTGTCACAGGAATAATTTTAATAGCTGTCGGACGAGTGGCTTAGAAATGACAGCTATATCCCTAAAATTTTAAGTACTTTCTTCTGGTCTGAATTCCGTCGGAATTGCCAAGATTCCGTCTTTTTGGGCTGATATTAGCCATTTGGTGCTCAATAAACTTGATTTCCGATAAATATATAAATGTATGCAAGTTATATCTAAATTTGATCCGATCTCAATAAAAGTTTACACAGGTATTTCGGCGCTGCATCTGATATCTTGTACCAAACATCATTCTTGTGGAGTGCATATAAACATGTGAGTGATTTAAAACCACAAATCGGATGAATCATATATATGAGAGCTATAGCTATATCTGAACCGATTTTCCGAATTTGGTGTACTTGCTTTTAAACTGATGCTAAAATTCAGGTCATTTGGGCTGATGTTAGTCATTTGGTGTACAATTAACCCGAAATCTGTTGCAATTATATATAGGAGTTGTATCTAAGTTTGAACCGATTCTTACCATTTTCAATAGAATTCGTCCTTGGGCCAAAGACATATTTTTTTCGAAAATTTCATCTCAATCTGATAATAATTGCGTCCTGCATTTTTTTAACAAGAAAACATGGACGGACGGATAAACATACATAAATCGACTCAGAAAGTGATTCTATGAAGATCCTCATAACTAACTATGGGTCTATCTCGCTTCAAACAAGTGCACAAAGACATAATGCCTTAACCACTACGTCGTGTGGGGTCTTATATTTGGTTAATCGTTTCAAGTCCTAAAATGTGCTTATTTAAGTCAGTAGGTGCTCATAAGATTTTGTGCAAGGTTAATTTAAATAAGCACCTGTTGTAGGTTAAATCCAATCAACTCTTTCCGTCTGTAGATTTGTGGAGTGTTAATTATGTGAAGCTCAAGGGCTAATTATTTTGTTTTAATTTGAATCTCTTATTAATTTACACTTTTTAGTTAACAAATCATCAAACCAATCATTGGCAATTTTAGGATATTTTACTCCCACCACAATGTGTTTCATATAAAATAATTCATTCAAATAGTCCAAACCCCCATGGGAACAATTGTGTTCTCAACCAGAAAAAAAACTATACCACATCATGCATTTCTAATTCAATGTTCGTAAATATTTACTTAGCTTATACGACTACTCAAAAAGATTTATAAACGATATGTTATCTTCATGATACATTTTAATATTTTAATCCCCCAGCAGTGTGGCCCCAGCCAACCGGCTCTATATGCGTTAAGTAAATTGTAAATATACACAGGGCTTACAAAGAGAGAGGCCGATAGAGGGATGTGAGTAATTAACACACCCATTATCATCATGCCATGCATTGGTGAGATAGGCATTCGTGTATTACAAGAGGATTACATCAGGTGTAAGTTTCTTCAATTAACAGTAATTAACACACCCATTATCATCATCATCATGCCATGCATTGGTGAGATAGGCATTCGTGTATTACAAGAGGATTACATCAGGTGTAAGTTTCTTCAAATTGAAGAAGAGTGATTATATAAAAGTGACAATGTCATTTATGCCATGTTACGCGAATATACATATTCACACCCACACTCACATTAACGTACATATGAATGAACATTTCCATTCCCATAGATAGACAGACAGCAAAATATGCATGAGAGGGCAATTCGTTCATGCATGTGTGAATCTTTACGGAGAAAAAATTGACTTGATTTCAATAGAAAATATCAGATACAGATACGAAGCTTATTCACCTCGTCAGTTTCATTCATGAGTTTTGCTTTTAACCCAGATGCCAATTCATCTTTCCGTATGTGTGCCACTGCCCACACATTTCCCCCTCTTCTATTTGCCTTTATATATAACATTTCCACTTTTCTTCCAAGAAAAGGAATTTATTGATATAGGGGGGGAAATGTATCGAAAATAATATTGAACATTTGTAGATATTTAATTGCTGTACCATTTATGTGTAGCAAATTAACATGATTTATATCCATTTTATCAAACAATTAATGTGATATTATCGAATAACAGGTACGCAGTTAGGAGATTAGTCAACAAATTAATTAGTTAACAGCTTAGTAAACAATATAACAAATAATCAATTGCTGAAGTATGGTGACGCCAAACCCCCTATTATGTCTGCACCTACACCTTTGCGAAAAATTTCGGTGTAAAGATGGTAAAATAAAAGTTAGGCAGGCTTTTGCAAGCGACCAAATTTTATTATAGTATGGAGGGTATATTAAGTTTGTCATTCCGTTTTTAACACCTCGAAGTATACATTTTAGACCCCACAAAGTATATACATTCTTGATCAGCATAAACTTCTATGTCGATTTAGCAATGTCCGCCGTCTGAGGAAATCAATTTAGCTTCCGAACGAAATGGAGTAGGTTGATAAAATTTTACTCAAATGTGTATTATGTCTGCAGGACTTTTGGTATTGAAAATGGGCCATGTAGGTCTACGACTTCGTATAGCCCCCATATAACGGTACCTCTCGATATTCGGTATTTTGATAATTTTAGCGACATTATTCAACAAAATTGTTCCAAATTTGGTATTTGAAGTTCGTAACGGATACTACAGCCGAAGACAGAAAATGAGCCATGTAGGTCCAGGTCTTCGTATAGCCCACATATAACGCTACCTCCCGATATTGGGTATTTTCCTGATTTTAGAGACATTATTTACCGGAACTATTTTAAATTTGGTATTCGAAGTTCGTAGTGGATACTACAGCCTATGGCAGAAAATTGTCTGTGGAGGTTCACGTTTTATAACCCCCATGATACCTCCCTATGTTCGATATTTTGATGATTTTAGCTACATTATAAACTGATTTTTTTCAAGTTTCGCATTTGAATATTGTAATAGCTTATGACAAAAGATGTCTATGCAGGTCCACGTCGTCGTATAGATCCTGACATTTTTTTATTTATTTATTTTTTTATTTTTTGAAAATTGCCAAATTTCCACCAAAGGTGTAGGGTATTCAAAGTTCTGCCAGGCCGAATGATAGGTTGTGCAGATAACAGCATATGCAGCGTATGCGGGGAATATAATTAAATATTGGAGAATTTTCTCTCCCAATGCC